CGGCCCTGGCCCCGGCGGGTCTGGTCTGGCGCTGAGCCTGCGCGTGCGGCGGTGGGCCCAGTCCGGGCGGGTGAGCAGCCTGGCCTGTTCGCAGCCGTCATCGAAGAGGACGTGCTGCGCTACCAGTACGTGAGGAAGAAGGGTTACGTGCGGCTGCACACCAGCAGGGGCGACCTCAACCTGGAGCTACACTGTGACCTGGTGGGTGGCTCCTGGCCGCGCGGACAGCTCGGGGGTCCCTGGGGGAGCGGGGGCCCCATGCCTGCCCGCAGGTCCGTTAGCTGTGGGGGTCCTGTCGCCCAGGTCCGGGTCCTTCCTCATCCTGCCAGGCCAGCCCTGACCGAGGCCTTGGGTTCTGCGGCCGGCTCCGGCCGCCTCTGCCGGAGGTTAGGCCCCGCGGTGTCCCGGGGCTCACGGAAGGACGGCTGTTTTGCAGACGCCGAAGACCTGCGAAAACTTCATCAAGCTTTGCAAGAAGGGGTACTACGACGGCACCGTGTTCCACAGGTCCATCAGGAACTTCGTGCTGCGTGGCATACTACGACGGCACCGTGTTCCACAGGTCCATCAGGAACTTCGTGGTGAGTGGCACTCGCGTCCTGCCACGCCTGCCCCGCCCAGGCCCCGCCCCCGCCCAGACCTCCGCAGACGGGCGATTCCTTGTGGGCGGATCCTGTCAAGGAGCCCCGCAGGCCAACCAGGCCAACCCGGTCCCAACCTGGCAGACCTGGCTTCCTGCAGAGCTGGCCAGGAGGGGCCTTGTCCCCACCAGAGCTCAGAGCCCCTTGCGGGCCCAGGGAGTGGGGCTGGTGTTCAGACAGGTGGGCGCTGGGCAGCGTGGGCTGGGGCCTCGCTCACTGGCTTCTGTTCTCACAGATCCAGGGCGGAGACCCCACTGGCACAGGCACGGGTAGGTGTGGGACAGGGCCTCTCGGGCTGGTCCACGGGGCAGGGTGGGCAGGGCCACAGCCAGGTCACAGACTGGTCTGGTGTGTGGGGAGCGTGTGCACCCTCCCTGGGCCTGGCCCCACCTCACCATCAGACAGAGGAGCTGGAGGGCTGCATGGGGGAGGTGGGACTTGCCTCAGAGACCCAGGGCCTCCCACCCTCCCACTACACCCTGGGCCTGCCAACAGCTAGGCCTCAACCCACACCCACACCCTCACCCCTGCCCAGTGGGAGTGACAGTGACCAGTGATCTGGACCCCTCATCCCGTCCTGGGGCAGGGCTCACATAGGTGGGGGTGGGGGAGTGAGGCGCAGTCTGCCTGAATGAGGTGCAAGGGCTCAGGCCTGGGGGTGCTGGGCAAGGTCCCAAGGGAGTCGGCGCCAAGGGCCAAGGGCTGCCCGCTAGGAGGTCCTGGCCAGTGCTTGCTGCCCACACACCTTCCTGTTGCAGGCGGGGAGTCGTTCTGGGGAAAGCCGTTCCGAGATGAATTCCGGCCCAACCTCTCGCACACGGGCCGGGGCATCCTCAGCATGGCCAACTCAGGGCCCAACAGCAACAAGTCCCAGTTGTGAGTCCTTGGGCTGCTGCGGGCGGCTGGGGAGGGCCCGCTCTGCCTCCACCCAGGGTGGGGCCAATCCCGAATCAGACCCAGTTGGCGTGTAGCGCCCTGGCTGAGCATGCGCACCTGCATTCCCGGGGAGCCCTGAGCGAGGTGGAGGTCCACCTGCGTGTGGCGACTACTGCCCGGAGGCCAGGAAGGGGCCGTGCTGGCAGGACCAGGCGCACGCACGTGCGTGTGCATCTGTGAGTGTGTGGCCAGGAGGTCCGTGGGGAGCTTAGTGCACTAGGCCAGCCAGCTGGTCGGGGGCATTTTGGACAGGGCAGGGCTGGGCTGACAGGCCCACTTGCCTGGTGGGGCACAGGTGGCTCCAGGGAGACTGCGGCCTAGCGCCCATGGCAAGTGTGTGCCGGTGGGAGGGAGCAGAAGGGCCCGCGGGGCGTGATGGTTCGCACTGCCAGGAGGGCCTGTGTGGGGAGAGCGGGTGTGACTGTCCCACACATGCGTCATTCAAGGACGCGCCCCGGCTGTCCCTCAGGGCACAGGGGCTTTGGAAAGCTCACGGAAAATGGAATCCAAGCATGCATTTATTTTGGTGCAGAATAGTTTGAAGTGCCCGGTAATTTCATAACAGACGTTCTCTGTGAACCTCCCGAAGAGATCTCATGGGTCGTCTCTCTCCTGATGAGATGTAGTGGTTTTCTCCATGTGGGTCCCCGGCCTGCCCAAATGTAAGACTCTCAGAATGTACCCGTGGCCCTGTCCACCGGGGGGAAGCCCACCTGGCCGGCCATAGCAGCCTGTAAAACACACGGGGGGACCACCGATGGCACAGTGGTTACATCGCCGGACCCCCATGTAGTCAATTGTGGGTCAAGTCCCGGACCTGGTGGCTTAAACTCATGCCGGGCACGTGTGCGTGCGTGCCCAAGATCCCGAGAGGAGAACGGAGGAGAAGGGATTGCAGCGTGACCATCCCCCTGGGGGGTGATTTCTCACTTTCTGTCTTCCTTTCGGGCAAGCACACGTGCCCTACGGCAAACATTTCTTTACAAAAAGGTGGGGCCAGTAGATGGCGTGGTGGTTAAGGTGCTGGACTCCCACACAACTGACCACGGCTCAAGTCCTGGACCTGGTGGCTTGAAAACCTGGTGGCTTGCACATGTGTGCATGTGTTCTCAAAACCCCAGGAAGAGAACGGGAGAGAAGGGACTGCAGCGTGGTCGTCCCCTGGGAAGTGATCTCTCACCTTCTCATTGTCTCTCTTCAGTGAGTACACATACCCTATGGCAAAAATATTTTTTAAAAATGATTTTTTTAAAGCAATTCTTTATTTCATACTAACTACTACTTTTTTTAAAAGAATTATTTTATTTAACTTTATTTATTTATTTATTTATGTTAAATTTGATCAGAGAGGGACATCTGGGACGCAAACCGTGTCGACTATGTGGGAGCCCAGCGACATAGCCATTACACCAACTGCTGGTCCCTCGTTTGAGGCTCTTAAATTTTAGGGCTGTCTTTGTTGTTGTTTAGTTTTGTTCTAGGGTGTGTGTGCTCGCCAAAGAGAGACAGAGACAGAGAGAGGGAAAGTGAGAAATCACCCCGCAGAGGGGCTGGCCTGCCACAGTCCCTTCCCCTCCAGTCCTCCCAGGATTTCCAGCATGGCCGCACAGGCACCTGGAGCCAGCCCTGTGAGCCACGCCATGTGACCACTGCTCCGCCTGCTGGCCCCGGGCATGTTTTTCAAGCTGCCAAGTCTGGGGCTTGAACCATGCACTTGGCCAGGTGGGCTGCAGCTGCCTTAACCCCCACCACCCGGCAGCTCTGTCTGATGGTGCACACCTGGCTTGTTTTCCTCCACCCTGATCATTTTTTTTTTTTAAGAGACATTTACTATTGGGCGTGTGTGCTTGCCAGAGAGACAGAGATAAGAGAGACAGAAAGGGAGAAATCGTCCCTTCACCTCCATTCTTCTCCCGGGATCTTGTGCACACACGCACAGGCGCCCGGCGTTGAGTTTTAAGTCCTGGACTCAAACCGTGGTCGATGACATGGGAGTCCAGTGACGTAACCACGCCACCTGCGGCCCCACCCCATCCCCATATTCTTAAGTGTGTACAGGTTGACATCCCTAACCTGGGAATGTCATTTTAAATTCTGCAAGATCTGAACTTTCTGAGTGCTGGTGTGACGTCAGAAGTGGAGACCCCCACACCTGGCCTTCTGCGGTGGCCACAGCCAGAACGCCACTGAGCACGACACCGTGTGAGACGGCCCTCAAGCTGCGAGGGCGAGGGGACAGTGATGCGGCTGCCCCTCGTGCTCAGGCTGGGTCCGGCCGCACCTGGCTCGTTATGGGGGCACATCTCCCCAGAAAGGTCTAGAACGAGCCCTGCTGCAGGCCCCGTGCTGGGCCGAGGGGAGCTTAGCCTGCTCGACTTCGCTGCGTCCTACTCCGTGTCCTGCTCTGTGTTTTCTGGGGACCCCTTTCATGTCTCCGTGGCCGCGTCTTCTCATCCTCGGGGCGGGAGGCCAGCGTGTGTGTCTGCTCCCAAGTCAGCAGGCGCTCGAGGAGCCAAAGGTGCTCACGGTTCTCGGCTTTCCTCTCCCGGACTCGGACGCGACGGGGGACAGCTTCCCCGTTCTCCCCGCCGTCCCACCAGAGAGGGACAGAGCGAGAGAGCAAGAGAGAAGGAAAGTGAGAGAGCAAGCCGCCAGGTCCAGGACTCGAACTGTGGTCGGCAATGTGGGAGTCCAGCACCTTGAACCACTACGCCACCTGCCAGCACTATGGCCGGGTGTTTTATAGAAACTTTATTTAAAGGAATTAAATTTTATCACTGTTATTTAATTTGACTAGAGAGGGAGGGAAAGTGGGAAAGCAAGCTGCCAGGTCTGGAACTCGAACTGGAGGTGGCCATGTGGGAGTCCAGCGCCTTAACCCCCGCACCAGCAGGCTGGGTGTTCTGATCCCACCTGTTTCTACCAGCCAAATGCGATCGCGTCCATGGTCTGTGGGTTCGCGCTGCCCATGGTTCTTGACCCCTTACCCCCTTCCTGTGTGGCCTCTGTCTGGGATCCCCCTGTCCTGGTGAGGCTGCTGATGGGCCAGGCAGGCTGGGCCCCACCCCTGGAGCCAGTGCTAGGGACCTCATGTCCCTGCAGGCTCGGAGCCCAGGGGCCACCCACAGGAGGACGTGAGGGAGCTCCCCGCCCTTCCCGCACAGGGCTGCCCTGGGCCCTCTCCAGGGCCTGGAGGTCCGTGGTCACCTGGGGCCTTGGCTCGCAGCCTGTCCTGGACCGGCGGCCTGTAGGCGCGCCGCACACACGGGGATGAGGGTGGCCCTGGGGTGGCCCGGCGGGCAGGGCGGGCAGCCGGCACGCTCCCTGACCCCGCTCTGTCCCCAGCTTCATCACCTTCCGCTCCTGCGCCTACCTGGACAAGAAGCACACCATCTTTGGACGGTGAGACATCGCCAGGGGACACTGCTGGGGGCGGGCCACACTGGGGGACTCTGGCATGTCTGACTTCCTGCCCCCACCCCTTGGTGCCCATCCTGCCACCCGCCTGTCACTGTCCCCTCCTCTAGGGGTTGGCACACTCCCCATAAGGCCCCAGGCATGTTTGTAGCCTCGTGGGCCACCCTGCCCCTCTGTGGTGGTACCGCACAGGCCACAGAACCCAGGGCTGGTTCTGTCCCCTGGGGCTGCCAGCCGACCCCCCCAGCTCCGTGGGCCCAGCCCCTTCCTGGATGGCTTGCCTGGGGGCTCTGCCCTTGGGCCTGCCCTGGGCACGGGTACTCCCGCCCCCTCTTCCCTCCCTCACCTGTGCCAGGTGGACTTCCCAGGTCTGGCCCTCCTGAGCCCCCTCCTCTACCTCCATGCAGGGTCGTCGGGGGCTTTGACACGCTGACAGCCATGGAGAACGTGGAGAGCGATCCCAAAACCGACCGCCCCAAGGTAGGTGCCCTGTCGGGTGCCAGGTAGGGGCGGCGGCACCCGCTGGCCTCCCGCCCGCCTGGCCTCAGCCTCTCTGTGCTGTCAGGAGGAGATCCGCATCGACGCCACCACAGTGTTCGTGGACCCCTACGAGGAGGCCGACGCCCAGGTGAGGGGGCACCTGCCCACTGGGAGGGCCCTGGCCCCCCTCCTCCCCGCCCTGAGCCCCAATCCGCTCACACCTGACCCCCCAGATCGCAGAGGAGCGCAAGAAGACGCAGGTCGAGGCGGCCCCAGAGGCCAAAGCGAAGAGCAGCCAGCCGGCACCAGGGAGCCAGGGCCCGCAGACCTACCGCCAGGGGGTGGGCAAGTACATCAACCCGGCAGCCACGTGAGTCGGCGGGCAGTGCTCGTGTGGGCCTCCGTGGTGCCCCCAGGGCTCCCGACAGCCGAGGGCCAGGCCCAGGCGGTTTGTCTGGAGCAGCCCTCGGGGCTCGGGCGGTGGGTGGGGGTTGGGGCTGCGTGGCAGGCTGCGTGCAGGGGTGGGGAGGTCGCCTGCTCGGGGTGGGGAGGTCGCCTGCTCTGGGCGGGCTGGGGCCTGCATGTGGCTGGAGGCTGGTTCTTCTCTCCCCAGGAAACGAGGGGCAGAGGAGGAGCCCTCGACCAGCGCCACCATCCCTACGGCCAAGAAGAAGCCCAGCCGCGGCTTTGGGGACTTCAGCTCCTGGTAGCAGCCGCTGTCGCTCCGCACCCTGGTAAGGGTGTGGGGACGCAGGGCTGGGGTCTGTGCCCACCCGAGCTGCCTCCCTCGTCCACCTGCCCTCGGGCTGTGACCTGGCCACACTCCCACCTGTCGCCTGGGTCCTCTCCCCTCCCTCACCTGGTGCCAAGGTGCCCGTTCCCACGGCCGGGCCTCCGTGTAGAGGGCGGGCTCTCACCCCAGCCTGTGGCATCTTCTCAGGGACAGGGATGGCCCGCGCCCCTACCTGGGACCGTGTGAGGCCAGTCCCAGCCCCGACCTGACCCTGCGAGGTGCCCCCGGGCGGCCCCACAGACCCTGCCAGGCCTTGCTGTTCCCTTCCTGCGGCCCCTGCTTGGGCTTGCAGAGACTGGAGAGGCCTGTGGGGTCGGGCTCCACCCAGGCCTGCCGGGGTCCAGGGCAGCTCCACACCTGCTGTGAGTGAGGACGGGGGACGGTCCCCGGCAGCAGAGGTGGCTCGGGCGCCGGGGCCATCTGCTGATGCGGCTCCTCGGGTGCTGGCTCCTGTCATTCCCAGGCCAGCGTGTCAGCGTCCCCTGCCCAGAGACCCCTACTCCGCTAGGATGTGCTGCCGGCTGCCCCCCAGCCCGGCCCGCTGCCGTTCGGCTGTTCCTCGGCTCCTACTTCCGAAGTGTGGGGACAGTTTCTGCCCCTCCACCCACGCTGGGGAGGCACCCTGCCACCCGTTTGCTCTCTGGTCCCCAAGGCTGCCATGCCCATCCCTGTCCTCCCGGGCCACCACCCCCTTCCACCTCCTCAGACCTGGGCTTACCCTCACCCAGACCGCGCAAGTGTGGACGGTCCTTCCAGAATGTGCCGTGGCTCTCCTGTCCCTGGGAGTGGGCAGCCTCACCGGCCTCCCTTGGCGGGCCCACAGCTGTGACTGTGGGGCGACGGCTGCCTACTGCGTCTGGATCTGGGGCCGGCCCTGGGGCTGCCTGACCCCAGCAGCAAGCCCAGGGCCAGTGGACTTGCAGCCTCCTCTTCCATGCCTCTGCCAGGCTCCTCCCTCCAGCCTCCCTGTCCCCTAGATGGCCTGGTGACTCACACCCAGAGGCCAGCCCTTGCCCGCTGGGAGGGTCCTGCGCACTGCCCGCCGCGCTCAGTCGCGGGCCCGGCCAGCACTCTGCAGCGCCCGGGGCAGGTGGAGTCCAAGGCCCCGGTGGGGAGCGAGACAGTGAGGACGGCCTGGGAGGGATTGTGATGCCATCCTTGCTCCGGCACGCTGGCTCCAGCATCCCTCCTCCTCTGTCCACACACAAAAGCCCCCGACCATGGGACGAGCAGAGGCAGCACCACGGCCGCCCTCGCAGGAGCTCCCCGACCCCGAATGGCCCCTGGCGCCCGGATTCCTGCCGCGCGTGTCCTTCCACCTCGAGCACGGCCTCGGCGACAGCAGCCAGTCTCAGCGGAGGCGGGTGACAAGGACGCTTTATTCCTGAACCGCACACGCAGGGCCAAGAAGGGCTGGGGCCTGGCCGTCCCCGGGCCCCGCCGTCTGTCCAGGCTCACCCAGCTCTTTCCTGCCGCAGGGGACAGCCTGCATCCTCACCACGCCCCCCGCGGCAGAAGGGCCCCTGACAAAGGACAGTCCAGAGCTTCCAGTTTTCTAGGTGTCGGACCACGTGCATTTATAACCCGACGTCATCAGGCACAGTAAAGGACTTTGGAAAAATTCTCGTTTTTGACCCTTCCTCTTATCTGACAGATGCCACCAAGAATAAGCTTTAAGGTATAAAAATATTATGTCTGTACAGAGCTACATCTAAAAACAGCAAAACCACATTTCTAAAACCAGCATTCTGTGCTGAAAACCAGTCCACCATCCCAGTTAAATGCATGTCTAATTCTGGCATCACCGCCCGGTGTTTTCAAGGAAAAAATACCTTAAATAATTTAAATAAAAGTCACAGGGTATTTATTGTTGAGGAATTGAAGAGGGTGGAACATTCCAGCTCATCTGGTTATGGTCTCGTGACTATCACTTCCCTGAAGCCAGCTCACGGTCAGTTCATTTGGTTTAAGAAGGAGCTTATGGTTCACAGAAAATCACCAACAAAAACGTGAGAAAAGTTTTGTTGGTAGCAATTACAAAAAAAAAAAAAAAGAAAAAAAAAGAAATAAGTCCTAAGAGTACTAGTAAAAAAATGTTCAGTCAACGCCGTCACAAAAGACAATGCCAAAACCAAAGTGCTCAAACGGAAGGGGCCGTGACGGGCCCAGAACACACAGCTTTAAATAGAGCACTGATATATACAGAGATCCGAGACTCGGGGAGGTTCTTCTCAGTTGAAGTGGAACCTCTTACAGACTGGCGCCCTCTACAGGCCCCTGGGGGTGGGGACAGCAGGCACCCCCAGGTCCCGTCCCCGTGGGAACTCCATTCAGCCAGCCTGCGAGCACGCCTCCACCCTCACCCAGGAGGGCTCTCTGCTCCCCGGGCTCCGGACGGGCTGAGGCCACCGGGGTGGCTGCGTCCTGTGCCAACTCGGGGCATCTCCGGGTGGCAGGGCACTTCTGCCTGGAGCAGTCTGCACCCTGGCGAGCCATAGGCCTGCACAGCAGCCGGGAGGCCCAGGGCGGTCCAGCTCTGCCGGGGAAGCCGGCTCGGGGAGAGGCACAGGCGGCAGCCCCCTCCCGCCTCCAGCTGCAGGTGTCCAGAAAGGAACCTGCCACCGTCGCTCCAGCTGAGCTGCTGCTGCAGTGACCCTGCCAGGCCGCGGGACCCAGGGCAATGGCATTTCCCACATCCCAGGGCCTCACATTTGGGGCAGACACAGCACCCAGAGTTGGGCCCCGGGGTGCATGCTGGCGGCAACACAGGGTCCGCACTGGCCGTGGGGTGTGGTTCAGGAGACGGAGTCGGGGCGGGGCACTGTCGCACTGTCCTCA